TACGGGACCAAAAAAAAAATCTCAATTGCAGTGACATAAAAACAAGGTCATCAATTTGTCAATAATGGGTTCCCAACACTAACGTGAGGAAGTCAATGCTGCCATCAGAAAGCCTGAACACGGAATAGAGACTTCACATTTCATCTAAAGTTTAGTAAAAGTTTAAAGTAAAATGATACAATCTCGTCATATGTGCCTTTGAGGTGGTGAAGTCTGGTTCAGAATACAAAGTGGAAGCTCAGAATGTGACCATGTTTGTTTGAGAAATCATTAACTCTCGGAATTCCACAGTTACTCTTAGTGCCAGAACTGCAACAGCCATATTAAGTTACCATGGAAAACAAATCAGCAGGGAAACTAAAGACGATGATGGAAGCAACTTTAGCAATTCCCCTTCCTGGCCCATGACGTCAGAATTCGGACATCAGGTTCAGGGTCGGCACGAATCTCCAGTTTTCCGTTTCAGGAGTATCAAATCGGTCAGTGTAACGGTGCTAGTAATGAGATAGACTGTTGCGGTGTCACAGCCTCTGGTTTCCCCAAGCAGAGAATTACAGAAGCGGAAAGAGACAGACAAACATCAGATTGGACCCAGTAACTCGATTAATGGGAAGACAGCAGCTAAACACGCTGCAGAATCGTGGAAATTACTCCTGAGCTAACATAGTGGATTTGCTTACACAGTGATTACTTTTTATTGAAGGGGGTTCTTTTCATCTCTCTTACCGCCCGCTTCTCCTGTCTCCGTCTGTCTTTAGTTGTCTGTATGTTTGACTAAGTGCTTATTGCCTTCCGCAGTTCCATCACCCTGTGCATTTTCAGTAGGAGTTCATAAGGCTCTACCAAACACAGATCTGTCTTTGCGGAGGTGATGCTCTTGGGCCAATGGTTTGAACAAGAAGAAAAAACAGATGTCAGAGATATTACTGTAGAGAAAATGTTCCACAGTGTTGATGTTCATATTTGACATTTTGTCGCTAGAGAGTTGAACCTCATGTGGCTGTGCAGCTGGCCTTTATTTTTCACTTACACAAACTTGAAAAAGAGGCACGGGGGGGGGGGGGGAGAGTACCAACATTTATAGCACTTATGGTGCCGACAGTTGCTATATTAGGGAGAAACAACGCTCCAGAATTACTGTTTCAACGAAACAGCAGTGTAGAACCCCCCCCCCCCCCAATTAATGAGAATGCTAATAGCAACACCACTGTTTTGGAACCTCAAGAAAATCTGGGGAGTCGTTATGTGTAGAAATGGGGAACACAATGATCTTATCAAGAGTCCCTTGGGCCAAGAGGCAATAAAGATTATGTTTAAAGACGGATATATAAAGATGTGACCGGGAGCTTGAATTGCATCGGTGTAATATTTTTCGTCAATTTCAAGCGCGTAAACACTCAAACAGCAAAAGCGAAAATTGGCATATTTTCCATCGTTTATGTAAGGGCTTGCAATCAGTCCTCTTTGAATTCAAATTTTCCCTGCTTGATTGCGGTAACGATTCGTTAACATTTCTTTCTATGTTCACAGCGATGCTCACATTCTTCTGCACAGCCCTAGCAATAAGGATTGTGGTAGGAAGAAGAACGTCTCCATCCAATCAGAGATAGGAAGAGTTAATAATTTATTTTATTTTCTCGTCTACCTTGTTGTATCTAATTCTTGCTCTTCGGTTAAGTGTGGTGAATGGAGTTATACAGTCGTTTTGTCTGGGGAACAAGTTTTCTTTTAGATGACTAAATTTAGAATCTAGGTGCAGTAAGAAAACATAGTATAGAAAAGGTGTAAAGACCATCTTCTTGAACTGGCCGTTTCTCATCCTCTCTAAATGCTGCTAATGCATCCTTAGGCGTGAACATTCTTTTGATGTACAGTAAAAGGAAAAAGATAAATTTGCTGAAAGATGGATGGAAATAGAAATATATTTAACGGAATGATAAAATGTACCAATTAGGAAAAACACTTAAGCAAAAACCTCAACACGGACTCTTTAGCAGTAAGAAATAGCAATTTCGAGTAAAGGAAGAAAAGCAACAACAACAACAACAAAAGAAAGAAATAAGATACCCCCCCCCCCCAAAAAAAAAGGAAAAGAAATGCTTCATAAAAACAGAAGGAGAAGGAATGCAAAATACACAGAGCTACAGTCTATTCACAATTTTTCGAAATACCACTAAAGCACCATTAATAATGCCATAAACATAGCGCATATCTACGCTCTATAGCATGCTCAATGCTTTTTACAACTTTTTATTACCTTGGTATATTAGAACGCGACTCAAAAACGTTCTCGGCTTTCCAGCAAACATAGCGTACAAGCAGTGGATTACGCGCTCTAAAGCAAACTGACACGATCTTTCTTTGTCTCTCGCTGAGTAACCAGTCCGTTCTGAATGAAGTGAGGAAGATTGGTGTAAAATGCCTTTCTCAAGGACACAACGTCAGGCCCCTGACAGGATTCAAACCCACGAACTTAGGGTTGAGAGCCTGAAAGTCTAACCACTAGACCACCGACGCCACAACAATAAACATACTGTTGTTGGGTTTTTTTCAATGTAGAAACGGACTTCTTAGCGGTGTTCTGGACCCCCCCCTCCCTCTACTAAAATGGGTTCCACACAGTCTGATTTTATTATAATACAGTCTTTGCAAAAAGTTAAGGACCGCTTACAAAAGTGCACTCAACATAAAAACCAGGAAATCAAAGTATACCTACGTTGACACACATTTATTTCATCAATCCATAAGTGCAAAAAAGAAATTTCATCACAGTCCAGATCGAAATTGGTAATTCCAAGCGCTCAAAAGTAACCCACCCTCAAAATCGAAAATCCCAAAAGAAAGGGTCTCAAAAAGTCTCAGCAATATCAAAGAAAACGACCAGTTAAAGTTCGTGAATGTCAATGGAATTCTCAGAAGCTCATATGCCCAGTCATATGCAAGGCACTCAAGACATCCTGACAGGGCAGCGGTATCTGCAGGAGATCCATCGACCTCTGGTCGTCACGGCGCTGCAGCAGGTTGGGCCTGCCGCTGTCCTTCAGGACGACAACGCCACGCTGCACAGGTCCAGGGCGTCAACGCCTTCGTGCAACAGGCGGGAATCCATGGTTTGGCCTTCCAAAGGTCCAGACCTCAATCCCACTGTACAGTGTTGTAGGCTGAACTTGATCGGAGAGTTCGGGAGAACTACCCTTTGCCCGCCAGCAGCTGCTTGGATGGTTGTAACAAAAATGGAACAACATTCCCCTCGCCTTTCTTTTGTGATTTTCAATTTTGAGGGTGGGTTCCCTTTGAGCCCTGGGAATCATGCATTTTGGTCCTGATTGTGATGAAATTTCTTTCTTGTACTTATGGATTGATGAATTAAATGTAAGTTAAAGAATGTATAATTTGATTTGCTGGTTTTCATTTTTCGTGCACTTTTGCAAATGGTCCTTAACTTTTTTGAAGACTGTAATATCAGAACATTTCTTTGATTTCGTTTGACAAATGTTCGGGACAACTGCCAATAGTATCCAAGCCATCCCTCTCTCCCATTAAAAAGATGAATACTTTAGTAATAGTGGGAAAATCCCAAACTCATGCTATCAGGAAGAGATCTTGTGAAACAATTAATTAAGGTGGTTAAACAGGATCGAAAGTCGAAAGAACATGCTCATACAGTTTGGAAAGGCATGCATAACCCATTAAAGATTCGGCGTGAAAACTACGGGGAGATGGTGGATTCGATAGCAGTAGGCTCAGTGATTTCCGCATTGACCCTAAGTCTAAAGTTCTAATCACAATCCCAAATTTGTCTTGTTCTCTAGAAGGTGCACTTCGCAATTCCCCAACCCCTTTGGTCTATTATTCCTTCCCTTCTCTCCTATCACGCCTCTCTATCTCTGTACTACCTGTGATAACTACGTCTATTGGTTTTTTTCCCTCTCCCAACCCTTCTCTCTACCTTTGAATGTCTGTCTATCGGTCTGTCTGTCTGTGCGACTCTTTGTCTGTGTGTCTACCTGCTCGCTCTCTCTTTCTCTTTCTCTTTCTCTCTTCTCTCTCTTTCTTTCTCTTCTTCTTTTCTTCTCTCCCTCTCTCCCTCTCTCTTCATCTCTTTTTTCCTCTATCCCATTTACTAGGACACACACACACACACACACACACACACACACACACACACACAGAGAGAGAGAGAGACAGAGAGAGAGAGAGAGAGAGGTTAGAGAATCCGAATGTAAATAAGGTAGTATAAATACAGAGGCCTTCCTGTAAGTGATTTATTCGAGAGAGGAAATTAGAGTCAGCGGGATGGGACATGCTTGGGAAAGAATGAAATATCCTCGACGTCACTATCCAAGGTCAATTGCTTCGGCTTGGTTGATTGCAAACTTGACTGGCATGCCAAAGGTTGGCCGAAATATCACAGATTCAAGCTGCAGTGGGATATTTTTTTCTCTTTTCCTTTGTTTTCGAGAGCAAAATGGTTCTTGGAAACTAATGGCCTCCAAAAATGTACGTTCAAATAAAATGACCCAAATATCTTTTTTGCAGTAGAGTTTAACGTTCAGAACAAACCAAATAATACTACTCATACACAAAAAGGAAACAATTTAGATTTTTTTCGTTCATGACACAATTGAGCATAACTCAGAACCATAACATTCGATGATTTCAATGATCCAAAGAGTAAATCTTATATTATAATTTAAACACAATTAGGGTATGGGATTAGGAACAGTAAGTGCTTTTTTCTGCTACCAAAGGTGAAACACTGTTTATAACTAGTTCTGACCTTGGAATAGGTCTTAAAAAGGCAGAATAACAAGCTTTTAGTGAGCTCTGCTGTCACTATAAGCTTGGTGAACAGATTCTGGAGGTCTGATTTATATTCTTGTTTACAGGCTGTTTCCAACGTAACGTAAGTCGTGCGTTTCCACTCCATTTTCTACAACGTCTATCCATTATCATTTTTACTTTTCTTACGTCGTTCTTTTTTCGTCTTTTTCTTTCAGCTAGCGCCTCAGTCCAGTTATAGTGAAAGGATCAAAGAAACAGGAAGACTCGCTGAAGTGGGAAACACATCTGCTGTAGTGAGAAAACAAGGTAAGAATCTCATTAAGCCAGGTTCGACGCTGTTATAAAATGGTGTATTTACAACCCTGCATTAGGCGCTGCAGCCGCTATGAGTAGCGGATAACCACCCCACCACCCACCTCCCTCGCCCGCACCCTCAGGCTAGAGCGATGACTCGATTATGGGACATACCAGAGACACTTATCCGTCCATCGGTCTTCTTTGCGCGCCGAGTATAATCGCTGGAATGACTCTTCTTCTTTAGACAAAGATTTGCTTTCCTGGCTCTAGTCGCCAGACGAATTAGCTTCGAGATGGAAGTGGAGCTATCGCGCCCGTGTGTATTTGCTCCCATCTGTGATTGAGCACGTTGTGAGAATGTGTGCACTAGAGGGGCTGACGGAGCAAATCACACACCCGTAGAACTCTTGGGAATACATGGAGGTCATTAACTATGGCTGATGTATGATGCACATGATATGTCTTAAACTTTTCTCGCACCCTCCTTTGATTATTATTATCGATTTGTCCTGTATTTTGCATTATGACAAAATCAGCGTGACCAGTACCCGTAAATCAGCTTCATTTTCTTCTTTTTTAAAGGGTTCCTGTCGACGATTGTTTTAATTTTGGTTTGATAAACTTTCAATGCCAAGTAAGTGCTTTTCGTGAAGGAAACTGGGTTAATTAACACTTCGAGTACTTCTGTCTCTTTTCTCTCTGTTTCTCTCAGTCACTCTTTTTCTCCTCTCTCTCTCTCTCTCTCTCTCTCTCTCTCTCTCTCTCTCTCTCTCTCTCTCTCTCTCTCTTCTCCTCTCCTCTCCTCTCCTCTACTCCTCGCGTCTTCAGAACTTTTACCTTCTCAGGATCTCCCTTGTTCCACGAGTCCTTCCCCTTTATAACCTTCCAAAATAACCGCACGTACATGTTATGCACAAACACACGCGAACACGAGCACGTAAAGGCAAACATCTACCTGGATGTTGCGTTGAAAGAGAACTGGCGCTCTCGAAAACCTTTAGCGGGTGCTTTCGTTAAAGCTGTACATTCCAATCGGCAGGTATCTTTTACAGTTTGCTCACCTTTTCACCTGTTTATGGTTGACCTGGCCACATTTATATATTTACACACGCCAAAATGAAGCGAAATAAGAACAAGAGTTGAAGGAAATTTTCAAAGAGGAGGAAAATGACCAGCACTATGGAACTCTACCTTATTTGTTTATCTGCTTATCGCACCCATACTTTATTATAAAAGAGCCCGTGTTGCTTCACTGGAAAAGTATATCATCGATCATCATTGTTTATAAGCAGGTTTTTTTTTAGCAAAGCACAACAATTTCCCGTAGCAAAAGAGAAACCTTCCACCTGTCTTATATTGATTACTTTAAATCATTAAAAAATGTATTATAATCAGCGTAATACACTCGTCCACGTCAGATTCTTCATTTGGAAAATCACCCCATAAAATTGGATCACACCTGAATGAAAACACCACGGCACCAACAAAATCACATGTCATCTTTCCTACCTACAATGTCCATGTTTAAAAGAATTACCAACCCCACCAAAAAACTGTTTAAAAATACACTTTAATTAATAAATCACTATTACAGAATTCGGAAGTACTGGTTTATTTTCTTTGCTTCTTTTCAAGCACATTCTACACACGTCTTAAATTATTTAGCAGAGACGCTTAAAAAGCAACGCCTATAATAGTGTGTTGCAACGGTCTTAAAACCTAAAGTAAGATGATAGTAAAGAGATGACCTTGATAAACATTCCTGTCTCTTTCGCTTCTCCACCTCTTGCTTATCCTCCTTTCCAATTTCATCAACCGTAAGTCACTCTTTCTTTGCCTGCCTGTCTTTGCCATCCATTCTCTCCCTTTCTTTCTTAGAGGCCCTCGGTTCGTCTTTCAGTCTTTTCCCCTTTCTCTCAGAAAAAATCTGAAGCCCAAGCTTCCCTCTGTCTCCGGACCCATTGGTCGCCTTAAGTAGCGAATTAAAGCCTTTACTACTGACCTAAATAGCTCATTGAGAGAGTAAGCTCGTTTCCCCGCTCCCTGGAACCCAGAACATTATTTTGGTTACTGGGCAACGGAGGGACAAGAGAGCCTCATTTTCTTTCTGGAATTGTTTGACGTAGCGCAGAAGGTGCTCTCCCCGCCGAGGCCATTTAGCTCCGGAGCAGGGCGTAAATGTTTATAGTAGCGACACACAGGGAGCTTACATAACTTGTCTCGCCCTTCCCCGCGTCTAGGTCAAACTCACAACATCTGTACAGCACACAGAGGATAAAGGCCTATGTATCTTTCAAACATAATAAATCGTTAGCCAAGAGTCAGGAGTGATTAAATCTCGAGCTCTAAAACAGAAAGTTAAAACTTCTTGTAGCTAACCCAGGACATTGTATGAGCTCAGTGTGCATGTTATTTTTATGATTCCAGATAATGGACATGTCCGAGTATCTCTTGCTTTGTCGAAAGCTTCTCGTGTGTTAACATCATACTTTAAGATACAAAGTAGGACGAGACCAATACAGACGATCTCTGAAGGTGGGAAATAGGAAAGAGAGGGGGGGGGGGGTAAATACAAAATGTACAAATATGAATTAATTAAAAAATAAACAATGTCTTTCTTTAGTTGCTTGCAACTATATAACATGTCCTGAGGCCATAAAATTTCCGAAATGCTTTTTGTTCACTGATTACCACTTGACGAAACAAAATGTATATTGGGTTTTACTATGTTGAAACGGAAGCTTCGAAACAGAACTACTTTCGCTCTGTATTAGAATGGACAGAACCTAGGTCTATACCACAGCTTTTACCCTCACAACTTAATAATAATAAATATAATGAATTTATATAGCCATAAAATGGTCAATAAAGCCACCCTCATGATATGAATAGCTGTTTTCAGGCCCGTCATGAGTTAACTTCCACGCATGCATTTTCGTCAAATCAAGGTTGAAGAATTTCTAGGTCATGTGATCTGCCTAGATCTTTGCCAGCTAAGCGAGATCGGCTCGCTAGCTTAGTAAAATACGTGTTAATCCGATACGAAATTGGGTTGAGGGAGTGCTGCAGATCGTTTTCTTTCTCGGAATGCTCTATTTGTTGATGGTGAGACACAAAAAGTGCCAAAAGAGGTTGGAATCTTTCGAGAATTGAAAATAAAACGTGCTTTGAATGTATTAATAGGGCTCGCTCTTAACCATGATTGTATAATTATACCGTGAAGCACGAAACACATATTATGTGAGTAAATTGAACAGCAGGAAATGGATATATCGTGTCTGCATAAAGTGCTTTTTAAATTCATCAATAAGTTGGTACAATAATAGACATTTACACACATACGTACAAAAGTCCCAAGTACACCACACTCACACACTCACACACATACACACACACGCACACACACACAAACACTCACTCACACACACACACACACACACACACACACACACACACACATACACATACATACACACACATGCTATTCTGGACTAAAGCTTAAAACTGTACCAATTATCCGAACATAATTGGCAAGTCAGGAAGAGACTAACTGATGTTGATGGATGAAATAGTTGGCGACGGCTCTGGAAATTTTACTTTACCCGTTTTAAGGATGGATATAATTGAACTCCTGTTACAGTAGGAAAACCGCTTGTCCCGAAGTATTTTAACAGATTCGAACTTATTTGTTTTAGTGCAGGCTGTCTCAAGTGCATAACCACTGACCCTTTTCTTGGTACTAAAACCATAAACGTCACCACTGCATGAGCATCAGGATGCACAATATCATTATGTTTGATATGGGTTTTACCAAGTAAAAGTTAATGCACGCAGCAATTTATTTCGACGAACTCACTTTCGATTTCAATATATTATGTGCTGTAGTGTACACTATAACTTGGTAAAACCCACATCAAACAGCAATGTGCTTCCAAAGTGCACCACAGCAAACATGTTAACATCGGAAGTCATTTTGTCAAGGCAATAGCTGACTTCTTTTGTGTATAAGGTTTCACCTGCAGCAGCAGCAGGCATAGCCAAAGCTCAACAATGCCTTCTTTCATCCTGAGAATGTTTACGCGGTATAAACTTACATACTTAGCATGGAGAGGAGGCAACCCGCTGACTCTAATGCGTACATCAAATAACATGTAAATGATAATGTTCACAAAAGATATACGTTTACGTTATAAATTTTTGTGTGGAAAAAAATGTAATATTTCCTTCGTGGTCTGTCCTGTTGAGTACAAATATTATTACTGGAAGAAAAAGTAAAGAAAAAGGGTTACCAAAAGTACATTTTTTTCATTGCTTCCATTTTCACTTCCAGTGCTTTGAGAATGGTTTTGTTTGGCACTGCTGAATATGGGAAATCAAAATATGCAAATCGGACACTTAATGTGTGTTTGGGGAGGGGGGTGTGTGAGGAGATGTAAGTTTATTATCAAATCTAGACTATAAGAATAGAAAGTCAGAAAATGATCAAGTCAGTGTCTAAAATTTAATGGTAAGGCTCTTCGTTTCGCTCGTAAAAGACGTGACTTGGATACTTATATTGCTAAGATGTTCTTTTGAGGATCAACTTCTGTCTGCTGAGGTGCAGTTTCCTTGGCATCCCGGATTACCCGCGAGATGCGGCTTTGAGACAGCCGACCTCCTACAGGCTTTAACCTGACGTGACTGGAGCATCGTGCCAAATCGTCGCACCATAGCCGACGGTCCTAGATTAGGAAACTACAATTCTCATTATTATGCCGATTACTGCAATGTTCCCTTTCCGTTTTATCGGTGTGATTCCTGAGGACTGATCGAACTGAAGCCTAACTTCAAGATGCATTATTCAATTGAACCCTTAAGAAGTAAGGGCCTACATTATTGTCCTCTGTTCGGCCAATTACAGCTAACGGATGGTTATCAATCACTACATGACGACGCGATGAGGGTGGTATGCGACAGTTATGTTGTAGCCCCCCCCCCCCTCTGTAGGACTGAATTTCACATTAAAGAAG